GCTAGGCCAAGAAAGACGCGTAGCAGATGGCGCGGGGTGAGGGGTAGCCACTACTGGGTCACATGGGTGGATGCATACCTCCTAGGGTGATGTCGAAGAAGACGATTGGGTTGGGCTCGGCAGTCTCCGCCATGGTTGCGGCAGTGCAGTGCTTGAAGAGCGAACTAGTGACGTTGGACGGGCTTTGGCAGTGATGATCGAGGGAGTCGCACGGTAAGTGAAAAAGGCGTTCCGTCCAGATGGTTCCAAGATATGCCGAGCAGAGACAGTGGTGCAGAAGCAGGGGAGTCGGGCTGCTGCCAGTGGTGGACAATGTTCATGTGGATACGCCCAGTTTGTTAGCGGGGAAGACTCCACCGGAAGGGCAGGGATCCGACATGTCTACGCAATAGTGAGCAGACGGCCTGTCTTGCGACACTGAACTCTGGTCCTGCGATGTGAGACTGAGGCTGTGTTGCAGTTGTAGTAGTGAATGAATGTAGTCGTGTTGATTATGCATCACCGCATCAGGCTGTCAGCAATTTTACAGTGTGATAGCACCTGCATGCGACGGCATCCATGCGGCCCAAAGCAGAAACCCTGCTTCGGGGTGCATTGCGCGGACAGCGCCTGTGACATGTGCATGGTGGAATCGCAAGCAGCACCCAGCGCATTCACGACGCTCCCCCTCATTATACAAACAACCTCACACTTACCACTCGCCACTGCCCCAAACGCCACACCGGCGTACCATTAACCTTCTACTGTCATCATTGATGGGCCTGGTTGCCGGTCATCCTTGGCACCTGCCGGCGACGTTAGCGACGCCTCTGCGGCCTTTATCCGCCTGAAGACCGGCACCTCCCCCGTTCAGCCCTCGGTCACGCACTCGCATTCACTGCCCTTCCCTGACCATCCCGCCGAGTCTGTTGCTTGACCACCAGCGCTCTTCGCATCGCATGGCCGATAACGATCCGTTCCCAATTCACCGCTAGCGATTGTGGCACGGGCAGTCACTGCGAACGACTACAGCCTCTAGGGAGCCGACTCTCCATCGCCACGCCCGCAGTCGTTGCCGTCACCATCACCGATTCATCACCTTCTCCGGCCCTTTCCTTAGCCCTCCCGCCGCCACTTCCAACTTATCGCAACTACTCCACACGCGAAAGATACTCTGTCGCCGTCGTGTCCAGTCGCCTCCTGATCCGTTTCACCTCCCGCAAGGCTCGCCGCATCCGGCCTCACTCGCGCATCGCTGACTCGGTGTCCTCCACGACAGTGCGACAGTAAATCGGCGTATGGGATAGCAGACTCGTCGCAGCCTACCATGTCCAACGTTGTGCTCTTCCCGCGGCAGCAGGCCACCCCAACAGACGGCGCCAACAACAGCGGCAGCAACAACAACAACAGCAACGGGCCCACCAGTTCGCCGCTGCTTTTTTTCGTTGCCCTGGGTTTCGGTGTCGTCTTCACAAACTTATGGTAGGCAATGGCAGTTGGCTCGGCTGCTGCTCCTCGTACTGACTGCGCTCAGGATTATCGTTGGTGTTAAGTACTGCTTCCGATACAACCGCCGTCGCGCGGCCCAGGCTGCTGCAGATGGCGAGCCAATCGATATGACCAACATGCCTCGCCCGCACCGGAGAAGGAGGGAGAAGAAGCTGATGACCATGGACGAGGTCAACGAGCGGTTCCCATTGACCAAGTATAAGCAATGGAAGTCAAGTCGCGAGACCGAGGGCTTGCCAGCTAACGGCGGCATTGCGACGGCGCCCCAGAGCAGAGCAGCAAGCTTGAAGGATGTCGAAGGTGTCATTAGTGCCCAGGACGAAGGTCCAGGACCGCGAACCGACACTGCCCTCTCCATGGCCCGCAACGACCTCAATGCCCCGGCCTCCTCTACCGACCCCGTCGCTCCCCCGAGAACAAGTGTCGAAAGCAGGAAGAGTCAGCACGTGCAAGACCTTGAGAAGCAGGTCGCCGACAAGTTGAACTCGGAGAAGACGGACAACGTTCAAGGGCAAAGTGGTACACCCCAGGCCAACGTGCGCGAGCGCGAGGACGACTCGGACGACGAAGAGGATCCCATCAGCACTGCCGCTGCACCCGAGATGTTGGCCGAGCCGGGAGACACGTGCGCCATCTGTCTGGATACCCTGGAAGATGACGACGATGTACGTGGACTGTCTTGTGGCCACGCCTTCCACGCCAGCTGTGTCGACCCATGGCTTACGAGTCGCCGCGCCTGCTGCCCTCTCTGCAAAGCCGACTACTACGTTCCGAAGCCCCGTCCTGAAGGAGAAGTTGACCCTCTTACTGGTCGCCGTTCAGTTGCTGGTCTTAGATCACCACCGCAGGCGGTCTGGACTTCCACCAACCCGTTCTCTAGGTCTCGCGTCATGGTCATCAACTCAGACTTCCAGCAGCGACAAGGTGGTGATCGGTTCGGGCGACTAAATCGGCCTACTCGCCGCGAGCGCGTGGCTGGGAACGCCTCCCAAGCGACAGGGCAGACTAGCGAGAACCAAGGATGGCGATCGAGGCTGGCGCTCAACCGAACTCAAGGCCCTGGCTTCTCAAGCTGGTTCGGCCGCAACCGTGGCGCCGGTGCCACTGGAGAAACCCCTGTCTCGCAGCAGCCAACTCCAGGACAACTCGAAGCAGGTGGCCGATAGACGCAGTCCTGTTGTCACCCAGATTTCTCGATCGTTCTCACGCCCAATTACGACTACCATACCCTCCGTTTCTGTACCCGATCCCCACGGCACTTTTCTCTTTTTCCACATTTCGGCGTTTCCTCATCCATATCCTGAGCAACTTTTCGTCTTGGTGTAATCTCGCTCGCACAGTACCTATCAGAGCATAGCGGGGTCTCTCAACACAGCATTTGACAGGCGGGGAGAATGGGCTATACATGGATAGTTGCTAGTAGCGACAAGGCTATAGTTCTGGACTGAACTGCTAACATTGTAGATAGTATAATCTACAGCTTTGCAGGCGACATAGTCACGAGCAGGGAGGCTTTCTTGGCACATTATGTAGCATATACTAGGCGATTTCGATAGCGAGCGAATAGATACATGGAACACAAGATGCTTGAAGCAAGTGAGACCTCGCTTTTCGAACCAAAACAGTGATGCTAATTACACTACGTGCTCACAAGCCAGCGCTAGGATCAGCGCGGTGAACAAAAGAGGTAACTGCGGCCCATGACGCTAGTCAGCAGCGCATCTCGCCTTACGCCAACCTCCATGTGCATGAAGTACTTAGGCACCTACATTGACGGATTCTCTTGGAAACATCCGATAGTCACGGCATAATATGCTGCAGGACACCCTCAGATTTCTTTCGCGCAACTTGTTGAAATCCGACGTCTTCTCTAGGCAGCCACCCTCACAGACGAACAACATGGCGACCCCCAAAATCACCACAATACCCACCGAAATCCTCACGACCATATTCGAGTACTTTGTAGACGACCACGAAACGCTCAAAAATGTCAGCAAGGCCTATCCAGAGCTCGCTCCAGCGGCAAACACAGTACGCAACTCCGTTCGAAGAATCCTTGTCCGCGGAAACGGTGCACACGAAGCGTGCACAGAGTTTCTCCAAGAGCTTTGTCTGGCCCATACACCGTCTGGTAAACCCATTGGACCCATACGCTATCTTGAGCTCGTCTTCGACAGCCGGGCACAATTCCGACTAGAAAACACATTGCAGGACATCCTGGATTTCCTTCCAGCGGTCCAACACGTCACGCTCAAAATCAACGCTCGGCCCTTCCCCGAAAGTCCTAAGCAGGAGCTTATCGAAAATTTCAAAGAGAAAACGCGCGGAGCCGTGGAAGACTATACGAAACTCATGGACATGCTCAACTCACTGAGGCCGGCAAGAAAAATCGGTCTTAGCCTCATCATCAACGATTGCATACTCCGCACCTCACCTATCATCGCACAACAATACCCAAACATCACGCTCCGAGAATTCGACGTCAAGATATACTTGTGTCAACGCAATACCCTCGCCGCCTTGGCCCATCGTCTGCTCTACGCAACGAAAACCCTGACCGACTTCACGATACTGGAGGACCAAAAGAGTCCATGGGAATGCGACTGGATCCCTCTTCTCATGCCGTTTTCCGGTCTCACTTCCCTCGAAAAACTACACATATCGTCTGGCTGCTGGTTCTCAAACTCGGCATATAACGCCATGCAGGGTCGCCAGGGCTTTCTATGGAAAGGCGAAATAGTACGCCCATCCATCGTCCATTTACTGCCCCCATCGCTTTCCTCGCTCCGAGTAGACTTTAGTGGTAGCGCGGCCATTTTCGCCGTGGGTGATGGATACCGTGCCGCCTTCTTCCGCATGACGTCCGACGAGATCAAAATGAAAATGAGACCGTGTTGGAACTGGATATACGAGATTGCCGCTGCTGATCCTTCGCGATTTCCTCGATTGGAGAAGGTGGAGGTGCTGGAGCTGAAATATGTGGTCAGTGATAGGGGTAGGGTCGTCAGGTGTGCGGAGCCGATGGATTGGGACCCGCCTGATGAATTGAAGAAGGCGTTTGCGGATAGGGGGATCGAATTGACAATTCAAATCAGGGGCAAGACGGAATTTAAGTCGGCGCCGCCGGGGCCTGGTGTGCAGGCAACGTGATAGTCGACGAATGCGACATTTAGCATCTCTCAATGCATCAACCTCACACATTACACAATGAGTATTCACATTGCTGGCCTACATATACTGAACTCACAGTCACAACAAGAGGGGTGATTTTAACGATGACTCGTTATATCGCTTCACACGAAATGTTCAACTTTCACCGCGTTTCCAATGAGGGCCATATGACGAGTAATTACCAAGGTCCGTGTGAATGACAGGCAAATCCTCACTCGAGTAGCTACATAAGCCCCTTTTCCCCTCCATAAGAGAATCAATATCAGCTCAACCGCAATCCCTCCACTCTACCCGATACCCAATCTTACCCTTCAGAAACCGACATTTCAGTCGCCAGAATCATGTCCAAACCCATAATCACCACGCTTTCAAACGACGTCTTGGATCAAATCTTCGAGGATGTGGATCGAAAGGATCTGCTGAGTCTGATCAAGACGCACCGAGTCTTTCACAAATCCGCCCAACGCCTCTTATTCCAGTCGATTGACCTCCCTGTACAATCAACCCTGGCCCCTCCATTCGTTCAAGGCGGGCATGCTGCGGAAGTCAGCCACCTACCGACACCCCAGGATCGGCAGGATCCGGATGAAGAGCCGCTGCGGTATCGACGGGAACCCCGTCCATTACTACCTCCGGTCTTCCTGCCACTAGAAGACTATCAGATCCCAAAAGAGTACAGGGAGCACGAGGCTTTTGGCAATGTCGCGGCTCGGCAGCAAAGGATTGCCTTGTTCCTCCAGGCTATCGAGAAGGCGCCGCAGCTTGCAGAACATGTACGCCACGTTCGGATAGACGCTGAGTGGGGCCTACAGCTTTTCGTCCACGAGCAAGCCATCACCATCTTCGATAAACTGCCGAACGTGCGAAGCATCGAGGTGACGGTCAAAGACCGGTTGAAGGGTTCGAGATGGCATGCTTACCAGAACATGTGCATGAAGCAACTCTGGGCGGTACTCGAAGATGAACCCATCGAGACCGTCACTCTGAAGACACCGACGTTGAGGATCCTCCGTGAACTCATCCAGATCCCTACTTTGAAGACATTCTTGATTGAAACCCCGGCGCCCTGGCATGAAAGCCCTGAGTCCGATATCAAAAAATTTCGCATCATTCACAATTGGTTCGACCCCGAACCCGACTCCATCCCCAACCTCACACACTTCAACTCTGGAACCTTTCAAATCAGCCCTCTCGCTCTGGGGAAACTGCTACGCCTATCTGAAAAGACGGAGTCACTGCACCTAACCATCAACTGCCTGTACGCCTGGCAAAGGGACATCGTACCACCATGGTTTCGTCCCACACCCCCTACTCCTCAAACCGTCATCGACGTCCTGCAAGCTTACCCAGACCTCCCTTCCAGCTCAAAACAACTCTCCCTCCTCGAACCCCCTTCCGCCAACTTCAGAGAACACCCCTACCCCGCCTTCTCGCCCTCTTTCACCTTCCTCAAAAACCTCCAAGTACTACGCGTAACCTCATCCCTCTGGTACAACAACCTTGTCGACCTCCCCAACTCCGCAAAGAAAACATGGATCTGGCAGAAGCAGGATCGTTGCGCCGCAGCCGCATACACTCTCGTTCCCCCCTCGGTGCGCGAACTAGAAATCCAATTCTGCGGGCCCACCGAGGCTATCTTCGCCACTGGTGAGGGCCGCGCGCAGTTTAGGCGTTTGCCTCAGGCGCTGCCGCCCAAGGGGTTGAACTGGATAACGCAGTTTGCGTAGATGAAACTAGCGGGTAGAGGGTTTTTGACTGAGCTCACGTGTTTGAGGCTAACGGAAGTGGCGGGTGTTGCGAGCAAAGGGCAGGCTTCTGGGGCGTTTGAGGCGTATAAGCCACCCAGGGTTGTTAGCGAGACTTTTGCTGAGGCGGGGATTGAGCTTGTTATTAAGCTGGCGAAAGCATAGGCGTTGGCATCTTTATTAGACCGATTGGCTGCACATAGTTGTATGTGCTCCTCAGCTACATGTTAGCCCTCAAAGGGCTGAAGGGGATGAGACTGGATTCGTCCAACCCATTCACGACCAACAATGAATACCCATACAAAGCTGTTAATTTGGAAGTGCACATTGCCTTGTGATTCTGTCAACATCTGTTCCATCTGTTCCTGTATGACGTCTCCCTTAACCAGAGTTCTAGTATATTGAGATACTCAGCACCATGCCAGAATTCTGCTGTTCCCCAGCAACCTCAGTCCCTCAATGCTCTTTCATGTAGGCCAAGTTTTCCGCATCTTTGCGCTTCCGCATCATTTCTTTAGCGAGCAGTACGATCCACATCAAAACGACTACAGTTGGACATAGTCTAGGCTATATGGCACACCGACCAAGGCTGCTGCGACAGGCTTGGTAGCCGTGCCGGCGTCGAGGTAGTTGTGGATTATAGTACTGGAGATCGAGTGATCAAGTGAAGAGGTATGCATCCACAGTCGAGCATGCAAAGCATTTGAAAGCCTTCCTCATTGTTCGTGATGGTTTTGCGATCCGTTCATCCAGTGTGCATAAGGATGTTGCGTCGTAGGCCCTGTGTATTCGCCAAGAAGGTTAGCACCCAGCAACGCGGGTATTAGTAAAAGTTTAGAGCGCTCGAAGTTGTACATACATGTAAATCCGTAGCCACTCCCGAAAGCATAAGATGATTCGTCGGGTCCCCCGGAGCCTTGCGGATCCGCCGATGCGCCTCCATTGTCAGGGTTGTTTGCGTGTCCTTGGTTCGGGTCGTCGAGGCCCAAATTGAGAGCAGCCCAGTCGATACTTTCCCAAGCGTTGAGATCGGGCTCGGCAACGTGATGCTGCAGCGGCCCAACAGGGCTATTGGCGTCTTCAGCTTTCAAGGGCGCTTCGAAAAACGGCGCAAGCCTACGTACAAGAAAAACTCAAGTATAAGCAGGCGAATGCATAGGCAAGAATGTACGGTCATCTAACCTGAGATTCACAACCCTGGCCCATAACTGACACACAGCGTCGTTGAGCTTGTAGCTAACCCAGCCGCAGAGATGGAGTCGTTCGAGAAGCGCTTCCGCCGATGGGATGTCAAATTCCGCACAGGCAAGCGAGGTCTGATACACAAACCATGTGCTGTCTGGCGAGGGTTCCGCTGATATCGCACCGATAGAAAGTATCCAGAGTAGAAGATCGGGACAATGCTGCCACTCGGTACGAATAGTGCAGTTCAGCGCTTTCTCCAGTCGCTTGCTCGCTGCAGAGTGGAGCAGATGGACGTGAGACTGTAGCTTAAACGCTTCGGTCGTCCGCACCGTAAAGATGAGAAGCGCAACGCATAGCGCGTCTTCGAGAGGGGTGACAAGATGTTCGTTCTTGCGCAGCCATGTTAGCAGAGAGCATTCCAAGACGCATGCAAAGTTCTGAATATCGAGAGGGTCCAGACGGCTCTCAGGATCACTGAACCAGACGTTCAGGTCGGCAATCAGGGAAAGTACCAATTCCACCAAGGCATTAAGTGGTTCTTTGATACCCGCATTCCGACAATAATCAGTCAGATGTTGAGAAATGTTCGATTCGTAGCCTGGTGGATGACGTGGAAAGCCTGCTGTGCTGATGAAATCCAATGTAGAGGGGCTTGGCGCTTGGAAATCGTTGATAGCGTGAGCGGTCGAATGCCTGATGCTCAGTAAGCACATGCCAAACCGGTTCTGGACAGAACGCGGAAGTAGAGGCTACACACCAAAGCATAAAGGCTTGAAGAATGCGATTCGTTTTGATTGCTCCTAGTCCTCCACGCAGCTGCACCATTCTTTGCAGCCCCGTTCGATGGATCTCGATTTGGACTGCGTGGTCTTCGTGTAAATCGAAGAATGGCATACGGAGACTCTCCTCTATGGTGAGTAAGTTGAACACTGCACCGATGTTTGCGTCCGATATTCCATCCGGTGTTAGTATCGCTGCATTGACAGCAGCAATAGCCTGTGCTCGATGGTGCAAAATTGCATCAATGGTATCTTTTCCGAACACCCAAGCGTGCAGCGCGACCGTAGCAAGCAGACTGTGCATGAAGCCTGGATTACTTATCGCCGTGCCGAACCAGTCCGACTTCATCAGAGTAGAACGATGCCGGACGTCGACGGCGATGATACCAGGCGCCATCTCCGTGGAAACTACACAGTTCAAGTCAGCGTTTGAGTACCAACAATGCAGGGCATTGGGATGTTTGGCGCCATGCAATCACATGCAATCTAGACTTCGCACTCTCTACGCCGTTGTACAGGGTTGTCGTGCCACGAACCCAGCGAACTGGAATGTCTTGATGGAAGGGGAGATGCAGGGCAGCCACTTACAATGCTTCAACAATTCCGATACGCTGCGGGTTACTTCGACGGATGAAGTCCGAAAAGGATCGAAAAGCTGATTGTTTGGGTCTTCTGCAGGCGCCGCAGGCTTGACCAGCAAACATCTTTTGCAGAATCCCTCACCCGGGCGGCACAGGAAAATCTGACACTCTGGACAAATGTCCCTCTTGGCTATCGCATAATCTTCAGACTCTGGGGAAGAAAAGTAATCAGACCTGTTCGCAACAATTGGAGGGCTTGGCGTCGCCTTGTTTGACGTAGACGCACATGTACTGTTAGGACTTGCGCTTCCTGAGCTTCCCGTTTTCCTTTGCTTCGCAGCATGTTTGCTTGTTGACCATGGGTTTTTCCTGCGGGCGTTCTGCATGACAAAAGAACGAGCATTGCGACGACCTTGGCGAGACGTCTTCGCTTGAGCTGCGTCGACGAACAAAAAGTCTCGCTGATCAGACATTGTCGGTCAGAGCCACCCGTTCTCCCTTTGGTGGCTCCTTCAGGCCCTCCAGCGGTTCTTCCCGTTACAGAACTAGCAATATGCCGTATTGTCCTGTTCAGAGAGGATGTAGATGGTGGGGCTTAGCAGGGTGTAGCCGGGACGACGTTGCGCGTGGTGACTAGTCCAGACTTTCCCAGTCCATGCTCGCGGGTCAACATTTTGGTACCGACATGTGCCGTGACGACGTTGGGCTGCGGCGGTATCGTCCTTGGTGTTACTGGAGGCGATGGAGGGGCGCGAGACGTGAAACTATCAAGGACCCGATTCGTGTTAGGCTGCAGAAGCGAAGTCGGGTGTGACGGGGTGCCTGCGCCGATGCCAATCTCTCGAATGATGATGCAGCTGCGCCAGCCCAAACCCGTACGCCAGATAGTCCCACGACACGGTGAACAACGCAGGGTCTCTGTCTATATATGTAGACAATGGAGCTCGCGGATCGCTGTTACCGAAGGATCAAAAATAGCACCGGCCACGGCCGGTGGCTAACGTTGCGTGATGTTTACAGGACCTGCTGTCCAGAAAACTGGAGATGGACATGAAAGACGCCACAACCGATGCTAACAGGAGCCGGGGCACGGTAGTCTCCTATGATACAAGGCAGACTCTCAAGCGTGGGCCCAGACCTTGTATGGATACTAGATCTTCGATTGTCGGTAGCATGACATCTGAGGTTCGCGATATACCAGGTATGACGCACCCCTGGCTTTCGGCGCGTTCGGAAATACTTTTTTGTCCAGAGTGCATGTTGGACCCCCGAACACACGTACAAATAGGTTTGCAGTCCGAAAGGAAATGAATCTGTCGGAATGCGGACTCGACGAGGACGTGAATAGGTGAAAGGCCGAGGAACAATAGAGGCTCCGGACCCCGGCACCTACTGGGCAAGCGCGACGGAACCGCGCGTACCTTGATGCTCGGAAGCTCTTTCAACAACCGCCATGCAGGCAGACGGCATTCTAGCAGGTAGGACATGGCTGCTTGTTCTGCTGACTGTGGCGCTCGTATACTGACCACGTCATTGTAACATAGGCCTTTCGGAAATACCTGCGCATGTCCTCCACGCGGAATTGCTCCGAAGACAGCAGGACAACGATGAGCGACCAGAATGCGGAAGCAAAGGGGCAAAGGGCTACTACAACACACCCATACATGTCTTCGCCTTGTTTTTAATACTTACACTTAGCACTGCGGGTTCGTACGTTTCTTCGCATACCTTCCAATGCACTGCTGACCGTCTCACAGCTTGCTCCTTCCCCGTGGTCGTCAAGCGCTTTCCTTCGATACCCGTTCCCCACCAGTTCCTCTTCATATCTAGACACTTCGGCACGGGTGTCCTGATCGCGACTGCCTTCGTCCATCTCCTGCCTACCGCCTTCGAGTCCCTCACCGACCCATGTCTACCCCCGTTCTGGAACAAGGGCTACTCGGCCATGCCGGGCTTAATAGCCATGACATCAGTCTTTGTAGTAGTGGGCGTGGAGATGTTCTTCGCATCGAGGGGAGCAGGCCATTCGCATTCGACTGGCTACGAAAACCTAGGCCTTGACGATCACGCTGCGGCTGCGCGCCCGGGCCACAAGAGAAGCCATAGCTATGGGAGGTTCAGCAACGGCACACCAGGAGCGAATGGCCACATACCGGGCATCATGCTGCACGATGTGGAATCTTCGGCCAATCTCATGGCAGGCCGATCACCGTCCTTCTCTCTGGCATCGCCGATGACGCCTAATGATTCGATAAGCCGGAAGTCCATTGACGACGACAATGACTCAGATCTTGAGGTAAGCAGGGAAGAGCTCGCCCGTCAAGATGGGGAGAACTCAGAAGACGAGTCTCGCCTGCTTCCCGGCCCTCATGCCCACAATCATGCCCACCAACCTGGCGGCGAATCCTCTGAAGATGTGGAGAAAACGGAAGCCCAG